GAGGACTGCGCGCTGTTTGCACACAGCGCAGATGGGTTGCAGCACATGACTAGCCCTCCGGCTCCGACAGCGGCCAAATTCGGGCTCACTCACAACACATGCAAAACTGTCTGCCTCTTTAAGCCCACACTGGAGGACAGCGTGCTTTAAGGATGGAGACCGCCTCCCTCTCTGACAACACTTGCAGGCTTTTCCAACTCATTCGGTCCACTGGCCTCAGGTAGCCTGGTGTCAGTGAGGTCATTTGTGAGGTGGATGAGTCTCCGATCACCAACCGACAGAGGCGTATGGACCGCCGCGCCGAGCACTTTCACCCGCAGTTCAACTGGCCGCCACCATCCATCAGTACAAGATGTACACCTTGTTGTCCACCCTGGCTCGTCCCATTGAATCCACTCAGCGAAGCGGAAGTCTGCCACGAGATTCGACGCTTGAAGCGCTTTAAGGCTGCCGGTTTAGACAGATTTCCTTCGGATCTATTCAAGTACGGCGGTGTGGCAACCATTAACCAGCTGACCACGCTGTTCGCAAAAATTTGGCATGAAGTGCCTTCCTCCTGGGGCGAATCAGTTATTGTCCCGATGTGCAAGAAAGGCGATCGCACTTCATGTGCAAATCATCGCGGGATCAGTTTTATTTCGGTTGCCTCTAAGCTATTGGCATCCATTCTACTTCGCAGACTATCCCCAGTACGTGAATCCTACTACCGTGAAGAACAGGTTGGTTACCGTCCTGGCCGCAAATGCGTGGATCAAATCTCCATGTTCCGCCAGCTCCTCGGACATCGCCACATTTACCACAGGCCCAGTATCGTTGCATTCCTAGACATACGTGCCTCTTTTGACTCTGTTGATCGACCTGCTTTATGGCGTTGCTTGCTAAAGAACGGGGTGTCATAGAAATATACCTCCATCTTGCGAGCACTTTACCTTCATACATCCAGCAGAGTAAGGGTCTATGGCAAGCTTTCCTCGCAACTCGTTGTTAATAGCGGTGTGCGACAGAGCTGCCCTATGTTCCCATTCCTCTTCAACTTCGCAATCGAAGACATTCTGTCGAATGCTCTAGAAGGTTTCCAACATTTTGACCTAGAGCTCCTACTGGGTGAACGCGCGACCGACTTAGATTATGCTGATGATATTGCCTTACTTGGTGACGATCCTAAGGGTATGCAACTCATTCTGGATCGTTTGGCAGTTGAAGCACCGAAGTATGACATGAGCTTCGCCCCCATCGAAGTGTAAAGTACTGCTCAAGGATTGACTTTCACCTACTCCCGTGCTCACTCTAGAAGGTGCCCAACATGAACAGGTAGATAGTTTCATCTACCTTGGGAGCTGTGTTGCTGCTGATGGCACTATCAACAAAGAAGTTTCTCTTCGTATCGCTAAAGCTCGATCAGCATTTGTTAATCTGACACTTGTGGCGTCGTCGCGACGTCACATTTTCACTAAAGGGCCCCGTTTACAACGCATCAGTTCGCTCAGTATTGTTGTATGAGTGCGAATCCTGGCCGATTCGTGTGGAAGACATGCGTCGTCTTTCTGCCTTTGATAACGGCTGCTTAAGGAGGATCGCTAGTGTTTGGTGGCAACATCGAGTTCAAAATGATGACATTCGGCGTCGCATCTTGGGGAATGCGAGTATTCCCTCCAACAAACTAGTTTTGTTGCGTTAGTTAAGATGGCTGGGTCACGTCCTACGCATGGCAACTGGGCGTCTATCGCGTCACGCTTTATTCGCTCGTCAAGTGTGCGACACCCAACGGTCGTTCTCCATCCGAAGCTCTGATGGGCCGCAGACTGCGTATAGTGCACGATGCCCTCACCCCGAATCACTTCTGCCTTCTGCAACCAAAAATCATCGTGCCTCCTCGCTTGGAACACCTGTATATTCTCGGGAATACAGACGCGGGCACAATGAATCGATTGAAGTCGTTGCTACCGTTCGCAGAGGACGCGTACCTCAAGACGTTGTGGTAGATGATGACATGTAGAGTCGGTACCGCAACCAGTTACGCCTAGATCACGCCAACTCAGTGCAGGATGTCAGTCAGCGACCAATTCCATTAGACATACCACTGGACACTTTTGCTACCCTATCCACAAGTATTAGAAATCTCACGCTATCGGGAGAATATGTGGATATCAAACTTCACCTTCGTCGATGGACAGACCGAGTCCGATGTCCAGTTGAACCCAAGAAAGTAAAGCTACATATAGCCAGTCTTAGAAAGGGGAAGTGTTGTGGAAGCTAACCTTCCCTGAGTGAGTCATTTTAATAATTTTATCAAAAGCGGAAACAACGCACATTTCGCTCTCCCTGATGCCGTTGATCTTCACTTTGGAAACTTGTTCTATAAAGCCATTTCTGCTAATTGCTCCCGTTGAGACACACCATCAGTTGTTATCTTTCCAGCTGTTGCACATTTGACCTCCCAGTCAATACTTCTGCCAATTAGGCGGCTGTTAATCGTTGGTTTGTCCAGGAATTGTACTCCTGCTTGAAAGTCTTGTCCAGGGCTTCTGGAGCCGCTGCGAAGTGTGATTTGAGTAATTACCTGAAGCGATTATAATACATAACCCCTGATGATCTACGTTGCACGTATAACGATTACACAAAAATAGATTTACCAGTGTAGCTTTAAAATAAACTGTGAATGTGAACTCCGGTAACGAATACCATCCGCGCTCAGCATTGTGTCGTGCCGACGCGTCGCTGCCACCTACCACCAGGTCGCGCGTGAGCTAAGGATACAGCGAAGTGGAGGGTGCAAGTCGACAGCCACCTGACCGACTGGTACCCGTCGACGAGCGGCGTTCCTCAGGGGACGGTGCTTGGCCCTATTCTCTTCCTGATTCACATCCACGACGTGCCCAATCTCCTTCGGTCGCCGTGTGCCTTGTTCGCGGATGACCTGAAGCTATGGAGGGTGATCCATACGTCGGACGACTTTGACATACTTCAGCAGGACCTCGACCGCCTCTCCATGTGGTCCGCCGAAGTAAGTTTGCCTATCAACTCGGCAAAATCGCTACTTCTGTGCCTCGGTAAAGGTGGAGCGGGCCGATCGTACACTCTCGACGGCCAAGTTCTACACCCGACGCATTGCGTCAGAGACCTTGGCGTTATACAACGTTACGACATGAAGTCACTGGACAACACGGACAATACGTATCGCACAGCATTGCGTTCGCTGTGGGCGCTGAAACGTAGCTTCTGCACCTGGTCGAAAGAGATTGCCACTCGTCTCTTCACATCCATTGTACGACCGGTGCTAGAATACGGCTCACCCGCCTACTGTCCGTTGACGAAAGGCGAGATACACAAGCTCGAAAGAGTACAACACATAGCCACACGGCTCATTCCCGGTCTTCAGGGTGTGCCGTATGAAGAAAGATGCAGACAATTGGGTCTGTATACTCTACCCTACCGCCGCGTGCGAGTGGACCTCATCATGACCCATCGGGTATTGCATCTGGGTGCTTATCCGATGCTGAGGCCACTGCTCCATGTCCGTGCGTCAAGCAGCACACGAGGTCACCAGTACAAACTGGTAGTCCCTGACCTCAAGTGGGTAGCTCATCCCTTGTGTCTTGAGCGGCGAGTGGTGAACATGTGGAACCGTTTGCCCTCGCGGATAGTAGAAGCGAACTCGGTGTCGGAATTCAAACAATTCCTGGACGTGCACTTTGCGGATGCCAGATTCGACGAAGCCTTCACAGGAAACTGACGAAGGAATCGTTCAATGATTATAACCCATGGAGCCCGTTAATCCACCAACTGCAGCTTCCGAAACGATGCCCATCCGTAATAGGCGGCGGAGCTGGTGAAGGACTCCATGTGGTTCATCCAAGAATATATCGTAAGTACATGGAGATTTTTTCTATGCTTGTAAATATTTTACTTTTTTCACCTGGGCTAGCTCACTACTACAGGTAACACTGTGTCAGTGGGACATGTCCTACATTGAGATATAGCTACATAGATGTTCAACATCTTTCTCGCTATCATGACAGTAAAGTAAAGTAAAAAGGCCGCCTATGCAGGCTCGAAACCGCGACCTACGGGTTGCAAGGCAGACGCCTTGTCTCTTCGGGCACGGATCGGCCACGCACAGCGGAAGTCGATTCCTGAAGCAACATAATGCAGTACTGAGCATGCAAAACTATACTCAGGACCTACTCGACTGACATGTGTTTCGCACTATGAAGACAAGTACACAAATCGTCCACTCATCAACAGTAATTGTTTAATGAAGGTTCCATAGTATTGTCAAACGACGGTTTGGTCGAGAGGTATGTAGACTCACTTTGAAGCTGGACTCGGCTCCCTAGTTGGAGCCCGAAAAACGATGAACACGTTTGGCTGGACACATGCCGATACGGCTAGGAGCCGATCTGTGGCGTTCGTGCTGTTAGTTTCCTTGTTCCTCCCCATCCCTCTTAGCCTCCCCCTTTAACCATGATCTCATTTCAGCATATAATTTTACAATAATTTTTTTGTTGCATAGTAGCCCGCTAGGAGCTTTCCGGAACGATGTCCATCCGGCATGCATCTGTTACATGTATGTTTTCTTTTAGGTATTGCGGCACAGTGGCTAAGATGTTTACCACCTCTAGCTAACGTGTATAATGATAATGAATCATAAACAGCCTGTCGAGCACTCGCGCTGATTGGGTTTACGATTTGATTGAAGATGAATATATGTTAAGGCTATTGACAGTAATGATGCATCAAAATACTTAGTTTGATCTAGCCACTACGCTATTGCTATTATTATTTGCTTCACATTTATAGGAGCGACAGAAAACATTTGAAAATGGGACAGCCACTTGTGTCGATAGGGAGTGCGAAATTAATTGATGTGCAGGTGTGGAATATATACAAGCATTGAAGTCAATCACCAGAGTACCCAAGAGTAATACCTACGGACATTGACGTAAAAACGGTCACACAGCTCGAATGTGGAAAATTGGATGTTGCGTACATCCACGTACCTGATCTTTTTTAACTTGGTCAGAGCTACAATTCCAAAAGTGCCGTGGTCTAGTAGAAAGTAGAGGACACTTTTCGGCCAGGTAGGGTAGACACTGATGATAATGGCTCTTGCAAAACCTTGACTGTGGGGTACCACTGCAACTGTGCCGGACGTGACAGGCTCGCACAGCTGCATCCGGAAATTATTAACGGAAAAGTAATCCTGGTCCATCTCGGATTGCATGTGCAAGTATCTTGAATATTCATCGTCACGGATGGTTACAAATAACTCTTTTGATGCGTACAAACTCCGCACGTGAACGGGAACAGGTTCACCGAGCGGCAAGAAGCGCTAAGTCAGGTGGTCATTACACTACTAACGGGAATTACCCTGAGTCGGTTCGGGTTGCCAATGGGGGTTCTGGAGGGACGCATACGGATTCGACGAGATACCCAATGCAAAACCTCGTTTTTATGTTTCAAAGGACACGACAGCTGCAAAATAAGGGCGTCTTGACGGCCGGGATACGTATTCAGGCAGAATTCTGCTTGCCAAACATTTTTGAGCTCACGAACGTTTCTGAAATAAAAACATTGCATTTGTGCGAGCTTACTTCCCAAGGCGTCCAATGAACACACCGCCCATGTAAGCAGGGACGACAAATGTTTCGTGCCAAATATCCTGGTCGACGGCAGTGGCCCACATATCGCTGGGAATAAGCACTTTGGGAAGAAGAGCCCCATTTAACTCTTCAGGTATACCCTCGCAAATATCATTCGCAGGATCATTAAAACATCCAGGCGGAAGTTTAATCCGGTAATTTATGTAAGGGGTTTCGATAGAAGTCTGGGATTCTGGAGTAAGGGCATGATCAGAGCCAGAGCTGAGCGAAGCCCGACCGCCCACGTCGACAGTAACAGGCGCAGTGACGTCAGGTGAAGCGAAAACGACGTTGCTGTCAAGGTTGACCACCATTGCCTCGCTTTCGCGGTTTATGTGCGGCCTGACGGGTGGCTGAAAAATGTGTAAACTGTTCGTTACAAAGGGGGGCACGCAGATATCCGTACAATAGGTTATCTAGAACTAAGTGACTTAAAAACAACAAAGTACCTTCGGCAATGAGATGAAAACAGTAATCTGAAACTCAACGTACTGATCAAACTGTTGACAATAGCTGATCTGCAAGCAGATGTTGGACGAAAGAGAAGCCTACCGGTGTGACGAAATGACACTGCGTTACAATATTGCCAGAGGAATCACGAGAAAACTTCCAAAATAAAAACTAAGAAGACGTAGGTACCTCAATTTCTTCAAAAACGGCGATGTTCAGTAACCTGCGCCGTTTCCGGTGGAAAACGTAAAATAATGTAGCAACTAAGGCCGAACACAGGATAAGCCGACCAGGAATAGGCATGCAGCTTTAGTATATAAACTTGAAAAAAGATTTATAAAACGCTGTGCGAGATGTACACTTACCAAGAAAAACCGTTAGCAGAGAAAACAAGCAAAAACGTGAAAAACATGCGAAGCACGCCTTATTACAAATTCGGGTGCAAATCTTAAACCCGGTAAAACAAATGCTAAATAAAAGTAAAGCAAAGATCGCTAAGTATGCATTAAATATTGTTTTGCTTGTTCATAATTACCTTAGTAGCAGCTTGTCTGTGTGAGCTTACACGATTTGCAATGGTGTGGTTACTTTGGACCGGGATTCTAACCAACTTTTCAGATTCAGATTCAGATGGATTGGAACGATAGGAAAATTCCTTGAGTGATTATTCTTGAGCAAATCGTTGAGCCAGGAAATGATAAGGTGCTTTTTCCTGATAGATCTAAAACGAAACACCCGAAACACACCCTGGTCAGCCAATTACTGCCCACGTTCCCTGCACTAGCATTCCCCGCTCTGTGGGTTACGTGAAGTAAGAAAGAAGTAAAAATTAAATGAAAGATAAAGGGGAATGGAAGTCATTAAAATGAAGGGTAACACCAACGAGTGAAGAGAATGACAGAATAAGTACTAAAAGTTTGAATATGCATATGGTCAGGAGAATGGAAAGGTATTGTGTTGCCAACCAAGAGCGTCTAACTGAGGCTCGAAACCCTTAACCGTAGGTTCACTGACTACACTTTCTGGAAGCGAGTTCCAGCGCTCGATACCTCTACGCGATAACCGAGTATCCGCCCTGATCCGGTCAGAACGCGGATTGTGTAGCTTCATGGGATGACCACGAATACAAGGCAACCTAGCCGGGCTAAATAACCAGCTCAAGTCCGGTCCAACCTTCCCTGTTAAAATGCGGTAAGTAAGGATTAGGTCTCCTCGAAGCCGTCGGTAGGGCATTAAATACATACCCAAGCGAATTAGACGCTCGGGGTACGATTGCCCCGGAACCCCTCGACCAATTTGGTACCTACTCTCAAAACCCTCTCAAGCTCCATTTTGTCCCGAACAAGGCAGGGCGGGCAAGCCTCGACGCAGTATTCCAGATGGGGCCGGACGAAAGCTGAGAACAGCTTCACAAATGTGTCCGCAGTTAAGACCCTGAAAGAACGGCGTATTAACCACAACATTCTGGAACCCCTACTAGCGGCCTTCTTCTAGTTGTCACCAGAATGCAAAGACGTGGAATGAACGACACCTAGGTCTACATGGTTGGAGACAATGGGGAGTTCGACACCACCGAGTACATAGGTCGAAGGCGGGAACGTTGCTCCTATACGAAGGACGGAACTCTTAGCCTGATTTATGGGCAGTAGCCACAAAGTAGACCAGTTACAAAGTCTGCCTAGCGCATGGTGTATGGCCTTTGAACCCCCAGGAACATTTACAACATGCCACAGCTTAAGGTCATCAGCAAACAATAGGGATGATCCCCCAAGCTCTCCAGGGAGATCGTTTACGTAGATGGAGAACAGCATTGGTCTAAGGACCGAGCCCTGTGGGACACCGCTAAGGACCGCTTGCCTAAAGGATAAGCTGCGACCCACACGTACACACTGCTCTCTTCCATGCAAGAAAGCAGATATCCAGCGAAGGGCGCGGCCAGATACGCCGTAGGACCTCAGCTTTTGTGACAGCCTCAAGTGGGGTACCGTATCAAATGCTTTCGAGAAGTCTACGGAAAGCACATCCACCATGTGGCCATTGTCCACTGCCCCGGCCCAAGCTTCTTGAGCAACCAGCAAATCCGTCAAACACGAAAACCCCTTCCGGAACCCGTGTTGTTCACTACTGAGTAGATTAAATCTATTCAGCTGACATTCCAACGAATCTCTCACTAGCTTTTCAAGCAGTTTGACCACGACGCTAGTCAGACTAACTGGCCTATAATTGGCTGAGAGACACCCGTCGCCATCGTTGAAGATAGGACAGATGACAGCCTACTTCCTTTCGGGAGGTAACGTACAGATGTCAAGTGCTTTCTGAGGGTAATAAGGTACGCAAGGTTAAAAGTTGGTTAAGTTGACAATGAAGGTAAAGTGTATAAAAAGAGGGCGTACATGGCAAACACGTCCACGTGCTGATATAACTGGATGACAAAGATAACTACACTGTGGTTGTTCAATTGGATAACCATGGGCAATAAATCGCTTTTGCTCCAGGTTAGAGGTGGTAATCATGGCGGACGATACGGCTACCTTTTAGGGTTTTTGTGTTCCTTTTCCCTTAAATATTCTGACATATAGGAGCGTGTGAGGAAATATTAACTAGCGGCTGCGACGTAATTCTACAAACTGCAAGTGGTGGCGATTTCTACTGCCAACGTGGATTTCGGAGTGCACGTTCATGCATTACTGGCTTATTCATCGCCAGGGAATCATGGGCAGGAGCTACAGACGCCCGAAAACAGGTTGACATAATATTCGTTGACTTCAGCAAAGCCTTTGATAAGTTTCCACACGTACGACTGCTACATAAACTTCAGGGAATTGGCATTACAGGAAATCTCTTCTGGATTGCCGATTTCTTTAGAGGTAGGACAAAGCGCGTGCAAGTGAACCAAACCCTGTCTGCTCCAGTGCCTATGACTAGTGGCATTCCCCAAGGAGCAGCGCTTGGACCGGAGCTTTTCAAACTGTGCACTAACGAATTGCCGACTACCCTTCAAAACGACTGCTTGATCTACGCCGAGGACCTCAAGCTTTGGTCAACAGTATCCAGCCTTGAGGATGCGGACAGGTTACATGGGGCTCTAGCCCAGCCACACGAATGGTCCATCAAGTGGGATCCGCCAGTAAACCGAGGTAAAGGCGCTGTTCGCCAAATGGGTAGCACTGAACCGTACGGTGCATACCACATTGTGGGGTCGCTCCTCAGGAATACCAACCACGAGAAAGATCTCGGGGCTATCGTGACTTCTGATCTAAGGACGACGCAGGACACTTTGAAGAAGGTGGCCAATGGAAGGAGATTGGTGAGTGCCTTAATAAGCTCATTCGCTCGAATGACTCCTGGGATTGTTCGACCTTTGTGCACTTCGTACTTCCGTCCAGTGTTAGCATATGGCCTACCAGCTAGCTATCCGCTCTCAAAGTTTGAATGCACTCCGCTGGAAAAGGTTCAGAGACGTGCAACGAAAGCTGTTCTGGGGCTTCGTGAGCTCCCGTACCCCCTTCGACTCCAGCAGCTAAATTTGTTGTCCTTCGAGCTCCGCCCCCTCCGGGGTGATCGCATCTACACGAGGCTCATCCTCCGTGGGGAACTGGAAGTGAGTTACAGCAATTCTTCTGGCCCAACCTTGACCATTCCACACGAGGTCACACATGGAAACTGTTTAAGCAAAGAGGACACAGAATTCGCGTAGACACCACCCTATCCATTAGAGTGATGAATTATTGGAACAGCCTACCGGAAGCAATCGCAGACGCTCCATCCGAGGAAAGTTTCAAGCGGTTGCTAGACAAACATTCGTTGAGAATGCGGGAATCTTGCGGCTATCACTGCAATTGCGACGAACCTTCGAAGAACGTCTTAATTTCACGACTCGTATCTACCCCAGTATGATACGGAATCGATGGGGCTGACAAGGGGTTTCCCTCCTGCTCTCCGCAACTCAATGAACTCAAGGATTTCAAAATTGACTGTTAAGTATCTTCCGTACGAGCAGGGTGATAATTTATCTCGGTTCCAGCAATTTTGGGATAGCTGTCAGCATGACGTGCGTTTTTTGACCTACCATCAAAAGTGCCTATTGTCTCGTCGCTGAGCCACGTGGAAAAACAGCTTTAGTAGCCTGTTTTCGGTGCCTTTCCGCAAACAATGGAGGGCATTAAACGATGCCTGAGAGAAATGTGCTTGGCCATGTTCCCCGTTTACGTATGCATACTCATTTTAGCCTCGTACCAAATGAAAGCAGCGTATGCAAATACATGAACATGCAGCGATCTTATTGCCTTTCTTACATTTTCTAGTTTAAACGGAAGGATCGATTATCCCGTAGATGTGCTGGGAACTCTTCTCGCTTATTGGAACACGAAACTGGAAGCTGGTTGAGCTAAAGCGTTTTTGTCCCTGGATCCTCTGCCCGAAACCTTTGAGGTTTCTAAAGTCTTGGATGGTTACTCGTCTTTTGAGCCCTAGACACTAACCGGCTACTCGCCGCTTGCGCGCCATTAATCATTGGCAAAAGGCGCATTCACTTTGACTTCTTGTAAGTTGATCATTTCGGTGGAACTTGTCTGCGTGCCCTCGGTTTCTTGGTTTTTGTGCTTCTGCTGTTTCGCAAAGAAGCAGTGTTCACATGTTTAGAGTTCACGTGGACTTAGCTTCGCCCGTTACGATTTGGTCCTGTGCGCACTACACAATAACTCGGCTTTTTGGGTTGCCATACTGATCGAGCTTTTTATTTAAACTAACGTGGAAAACTGTTTGAATAAACACTTGAAACAAAATTTGGTTATTGTCCAATTTTCTCTGATCCAGGATATCTTGGATCGATTAAAGTGGTACTGCCCAAAGCGTCTAGCGCTTACTGGTAATTTTTCCGGTTGTTTCCAGTTTTAATTCCGTTTCACACCCTGCTTGTGCTTTTTATTTCGGTCATTTTACTTTTGTATACTTGTTGTAATTCTACTCTGTTTTTCACATGAACATGGCTGTCTCGCTAAACTCCGAGGCGGATGGACCTATGGTGCTCTCGTTTGCTTAGTCTACTGCAGATCGCGGGCAGTTTAATTGTTCAGAGCCAGTAACAGATTTATCTGGCGATATGCAGTGTGCCGTCTGCTGCGCTGGTATCACGAAAGCTATACCGGCCTACTAGCTGAACAGTACAAAATTTTATCATCCATTGTTCACTTTCCCTTCAGCTGTGCTGAATGCTGCGCTCAAAAGTCCACGCGCCCGGCTATCACCGGTGCTAAACGTTCGGAGCTGGCTTCAAGGTTGGCAGAGGTTGAGAAGGGTTTAGCCACATTAGCCTCTACTGCGTCGCGCGATGAGAAAATGGATTTGATTTTAAAATCCCCGAATATTTCGATTTAAGACGCTGCACTAAATGGCAATGTTGCTGACGATCCATCCGCTGGGGTCTGTCACTCAGGTATGAAGTGGAACATCCTACCGGCCAATC